CCATTTTAGCAAAAACTGAGGAAGTGAAGAATACAGAGGGATCTTGTCCAATGAAAACACTGAGATTCAAAATGAAGGTCCCAGTCTGGTTCCTCTGTGTAACAAAGGGAAAGATATTCTTGGCTGAGTTCGCGGTAGGGGATCGGAGCCCCGCCCCCGGCTGGGAGCTCTTGGCAGTTAAAGGCTGCTGGCGCCTGGGTCATTTTTCTTCAGTTATGCACTCACTAAGTTGTTCGTGTTCCGTGCTCACTCAAGCAGCTCTAATCAAGACCACGTTAGATCATTAGATCTAATCAATCCAGTCATTTAAAAAAGCCACGAAGCAGGAGGGGTCCTTGTTATGGAAGGGGTTCGGAGGTGGCCTTAAAAAGTGAGATACAATATGTCTGAAATGTTCAAAGAATACAGCCTTATCCAGCAAAGCCCCACACCGCGACATTCTTGCCTCCTGATGACAATGAGGTGAACAGTTTTCTCCGCCACTCACGCTCATTATAACCTACCTGGTCCCATGGGTCCAAGAGCAACGGCCAAAGGACTGTGTGATGAAAGCTCTGAATAAACATGAAATCTTTAAACACTGGTTGTCTTAGGAACCTGGCTCGGGAAACAAAGCCTTCCTCTCGTCCACCCGTGGGGTGTTGACAGGGTGTGCAGAAAATGTCCTCTGTAGCGTTCTCCTCTGGGATATTTGTGGCCTAAAGAAGCTCACCTACAGAGATGGAGATGAGCCACACCTGTCTCTGATCTTGCTGTGTGTCATAACCTGTCCTAGCTCATCTGAACGCATTAACCCACCTGTCCGTTCAACTGTGTACGATAAGCACCCTGGGGTGCTGCAGTTTCTCCACTAGAGAGCCCAGTCCATCCAACCCCAGTCTCCTCACCTATCTGTGTGCTTGTCTTTCTCACCCCTTCACCATCTGGCAGGTCCGTCCCTGCAGCAGTACAAGGCATGGCAGGCCAGGCCTCTGTCCACACCTGTTTGATCTTTGCTAAATTAAGCGGAAAAACTACACCTCACCATAACTTTATTCTGCATTCCCATCATGTGAAGGAGAAGTTTCTGGTTTCCTTGAAGACTCCATTTTGTCATGTGATGTTTTGCTGTAAGATGGACACGTGATGTTTTGCTGTGAGCTCTCTCCTGCGAGGGGCACGCCTCTGGCCAGCTGAGAACATCCAGGGGTGGACTCTGAGAAGAGGAGAGATATATAGAGACCCATGTACAGTGAGGCATCGCTTTTTGGATCCACATCGTTGTGCCGATCTCTGGGCTTCGACACTTGACTTCGCAGAGAGGAACATTCCAGAGAACTTCTTGGGGTGATCCAACTGAGTCTTGCAGCTTTGGCCTACTTCATGTTGCTGCTTGGTGTGGTCTTTGGACTGGGCTGCTGGTAGCCTGACGACTGAGTTTGGTGATCCCCTAAAGACCGATCGACCCTAATCAGCCTGAAATAAATAAAAGAAGTCTCCAGCCCTTTTCCTTACTAATCTCCTCTCTAAGGTTGGGGGGGGGGCAGTGTTCAAGGACGTAAAGGTGGTTAAGAACCCTAAATAAAGTAGGTTTGGTGAAAAAATCTAAGCCTATGGTCATGAATGGTTTTATTCATCATTACACATGTTTCAAAATAACTTCTTTCACCTACTCTGTAAATTATTTGTTCATGTCCTTGGTCTTCACTTCCAATGAATCATGGTCATTTTGCTTTCAATAATGAAGGGGTTATACAGGCTGTTAATGGTTGCTAGGGAAGTCAATGATTGCCCAGTTATCCATACACAAGTTATTTTTAAAAGGAACTGACTTTTAATACATATGCATATATACTATATACAGTATATGCCTTAATAGTCATTAAATATATAATATATATTAAAAATCATACCTTTTCAGTTACAACTACTTTATAGGTGGTTTTCTTTTAAGTGTGCCTATTGGTGAAAGTTGTATCCACACACCAGTTCAGTAATTGAGCAAATTAAGGCTTGTTTCACCGTGCTACTGATCCCACTTCCTCCATCCAGATCCACTCCACACAGAGTGCATCAAAACAGCATTGATGAGTGTAAGGTGCTGCTTTCAACTACTCAGGCCGATGGGCTGAACAGTCACTGTCATAGACGGATGCTCTCCTTGCCTGTAGCCAAACGAGCAATTTAATGCATGCCTCAAGTATCTTTTCAGCATCTCCACATAGAGATGCAAGCTAATATAGGCTTCTAGTCCCTTCCTTACCTCCTACTCCTCAAATATGAGTTAGGAAAAGTTATGGACACTGTTCTGAACCCTGAAACCTAATTCCCCACTAAGGGTCCTGGAGACTCTGCCATAACGTACATAGAAAACATTTATAAACTGCTTTATTTGAGTAGTCTGCTATTTGGATGGATATGCAGGTTACTCCCAATCTTTTGCTAAAATAGACAATGATGATAAGAACCTTGGGTGTGCATCATTAATAAATGGATGGTGGACAAGTGCCTGAGTGTTATTAGAGCAGACAGTGAAGGCTTTTACAGCTTTGGTAAGTTCTGCGTTGGCAAACATCCCATTTCTGCCGAGAGAGAGTTCCTCCCTCACCAGGCTGCTGGTGGCGCTGTATTATGAAGCAATGAATTCCTCACCACCCTGACAAGTCCTGGCAAAGAGAGAAATCTTGGCATAACCTGGATCTGTGTCCTGTTGGGTGCTTTAAGCATCTTTCATGTGCTGAAGGTACATTTGTAGTTCTTAATATGGAAATCGTTTCTTTTTAATTTCTTATTAGAGTGGTGGCTTTTTCTGAGGCAGGGTCATGTTATGTGGCCCAGTCTGGCCTCCCAACTCACAGCAGTCCTTTCTCAGCATCTCAGCTGAGATTACAATAGGTAGGGTTCGCCACCATACCTGGCTCTGTTCTTTTGCTTTCTAGGCACTATTTGTATACTAAGCTATTTGTTATATAAACTAAGTATTTCTCTTTTTTTTTTCCTTTTTTACATATTTTTGTTCTCATGATGGCGTTTTGCCCTTCCTCCATCTTTTGCACCCTCCCTCCTGTCCTCCTTGGTCTTACCTTCCTCTGGCTGTGAAGAAACACCATGACTAAAGCAACCCCGGGGCTTTGCTTACTGTCAGAGGGTGTGACCATGACTACCATGGACAGCAGGAACATGGCAGCAGGCAGGCATGACACAGGAGCTCAAGTCTGACCCACAAGCCTGAGGCAGAGACTGGGTTTAGTGTGGGCTTTTGAAACCTCAAAGCCCACCCCTAGTGACACACCTCCTCCAAGGCCACACCTCCTAATCCTTCCTAAACAGTTTGCCAGCTGAGAAATAAGCATTCAAATATGTGAGTCCATGGGAGCCATTCTCATGCAAATCACATCCCCTTCCTCTCTGATCAAGAAAAACTTAGTTTTTAGGTAGTTAAAACTAAGCATCTTTTCTCTTACAGCTTTAGGATTTGGGGTGATTGACAGACTGACTACCCACTTCGAGGCTATTGCAGCAGAAATGGGCCACCCCACCAGGAGCCATTTTGAGAAAAGCTCCAGGTCTATGCTTTGAAGAAGCTGCTGACAAATCAGCATCCTCAGCTTTCAGGTTGAGCCCTTCCTCATCAGCAGACACCTAGCCAGTAATGAGGTAGGAGGGTACAGATAGGACAGGCCTCTACAACAGACCTTTCTCAGGGGAAGGTACCCCAAGCACACCTCCCATTAGCAGGCACTAGTGAAAGTCAGAAAAGCCTGATACATGACCAATTCCCCCCCTGCCTTCTTCCTGCCTTCCCTATGCCTTCTGCCTCCCTCACTCATCCCAGAACACTCTTCCAGAGACTGGAACAGCCAATGTGAGGAAACGTCTTAACTGCAATGTAATGACTAAGTCTATCATTTTGAGGTTTAACTGAATAGAAGTTCAGCACTAATCTTATTGTTTTCCTCAGTAAATGCCCAGTTATCTTCCTTATTTTTAAAAGGAACTTCATTGTTGTTCAGTAAATTAAGACCTACCTCTTCTGGGCACTTTCCCTATCTGCAGTCATTTATGAATGACAAATGCACAAGGTTCTTAGTTGTGATACAATTTCAATCAAAAGATTGGAAAGAACCTAAGTGTCCCTCCATGTTTGTTTCAATATCTGGAATTTTTTATTCCTCAGTTTATTCATGCACCAATTCTGCAGAGTTTAATGACTCTGGCAGGGGTATAGCTCCGTTAGCTCCGTTAGCTCCGTCAGCTCCGTGGTAAAGGACCTGCCAAGACCTGCCTGGGTCAATTTCCAGACCACACACAGAAAAAAAAAAAAAAAGAAGAAAGAGAGAAAGAGAGAAAGAGAAAAAGAAAGAAAGAAAGAAAGAAAGAGAAAGAAAGAAAGAAAGAAAGAAAGAAAGAAAGAAAGAAAGAAAGAAAGAAAGAAAGAAAGTAAGTCAGAAGGGAGAGACAGACAACAGAGAGAGAGGTATCTAGAGCTGGAAGCCAACCTACGCTGTGTGTAAGAGCCTCTATAAAGAACTATATACCCTCACTGCTCTCATTTACTTTCAGTCTCTTTAAACATGATTTAGTTCTGGAAAAACAGAACAAAAATACCCCTACTGTTTTCACAGTAAGATCTGGCAGGGGTTACAAACTAGATAAATACAATACATGGTAGAGCATGTCCAGCCTTAATTTAAAAGCCAAGTGAGTTGTTTTCCTTTTCCCATCAGGGGACCCCACCCCTCTCTCCGAAGGAGACCCTCTTTCATCCCACCAGGAAACTCTTTTACACACACACAGGAACACATGCACCCCACACCACCCATGCCCAACTCGGACACCTTTCCCCATCCCCCACCCTTTCACCATCCTTCATCACTGCTTTAGGAAATTTGGCTTGCAGTGCCGCTTTAGGATCCCAAGACCAACTATGATTTGAGCTTTGACTAACAGTAGTATCAAATGCCTGGTTTCAAAAGGATATCATTGTTAAATAAACTTTCTGAGCACACACCTGCACAGGATTTGGAGGGAAGGGAATGTTTATTTGTCATCAATTACAATCGACCATTGTAAATTTGCAGGTCTGATAGAGCAGCAAGCTTGACTGACAGCATTTCCAGGAGTTCACAATTTAATGGCTAAGGTTCCGATCAAGGTAATATGGTTATTAACTTAATACAAATGAAGCTTTAAAAAAAGGTTATAAAAAGCAATCTATAGACAATATTAGTAACTCGGTCATTAGACTTAGATACACGAGGGAAGGTCAGTGCTAACTAGACAGGAGATCAGAAGGGCATTTCTCTGATGTCACTATGACACTTTGGTCATTAGCATATAGTGCGGGTAAGGCAGTGTGGCAGGCACCGGGATATGAGCGTGGCTGCATGGGCTGCAGGGAGCGGCTGGCGAGCAGCAGGCAGCGCAGGGGGCTCCTCAGTCATCTTCTCCTCCACAGAGCAGCAGCAAGGCTCTCTTATAGTCTCCAGACGTGTCGCCCTGGGACCCAAACACACTCTGTTAACTAGTGACTCACAAAAGCCACAGGAAGTAAAAGATCAAGAAGTATCTGGGCACGAATACTGTTCCTGTGACTTTTCTCCCAACTGGGCAACTTCTCTGCATGACTCTCACGACAGGAATGTTACACGGGGAAGTTCCTACAGAGGTCACTCAGTTTAACTTTCTAATTTTACCCCTCAGGGGCCGTTCTCTTAATGTCAGCGGAGTGCGCTCCTCCACAAGAAACTGAGAGGGTGAGGAAACTTTTCCAAGTTATGTTAAATCATCAAGCTTTCCAAACAGGCTCCCAGTTTCTCTCAGGCTAACCAAGGCATGCAGGGCCAGCTGGGTGCTGTGTCTGTGCCTCAGACACAGCATAGCACAGACTTTTCTCAAGTTTGCCTCACACCCAAGCATGTGTGAAATACTAATGTCTTAAGTGCACAAACTTGCTCATGACCTTCAGCCTTAACTCCACATACCACAGATTAAATCCAAAGCTTTTGCTCAACTGAAACCCCACTCTACATATGGTCAAGATCTCAAGGTCACAGAGCACTTCCCTTTTACGATGATGGCAGTGTTGCCTCAGCCCCTTATTACTGATATGACCTGACACCAGAGACAAAGTGATGACAGACAACAAAGAGAGAAAAGCTGATGAGAGGGAGGAGCTAACAGAGATAGCTGATGCTGATGAACAAAGAAGAACACATTCTAATAACGGGCAAAGCCCTGGTCGGTTTGAGCCTTGGCCATGCCTGTACCCGGCTCTCCTGTCATCCTTCAGAACCCTAGCTCTAATCCTATGACTGGAATTTTAGGTTCAGCACAGGAACTGGATCCCTCCATTTCCTGGATGCTGTCCAATCTGGCTCTGCGGTTCTGACGTAGGACAAGGTTCTACCTTGATCATGGAGTACAGGGAAGTGGCAAAGTTCTTCCTAAACTCCTTCCTAATGTTAAACAGGTCGATCTCACTTCTGGATACCACGACTCTGATGAGGGTGTGATCGTCTGTCCCAGCACCCTTTAAAGGAGAAAAAGCACAGTGTTAAAACTCTTAACCTACGGCCCTGGCTTTGGGTAAAACCCTTAAGTCTAACAGTTTGGTAGAAACAGGCTACGTGTTTGAGGAAGATGCACCTTCCCAGCTGTCATCCACAGCATAGTCAGACATAGACAAAGAAGCACTGTCAGCCTCAGGGTATCCACTCACCTTCATAGCATAGTAGAGAGTCTCTGCAAGGTAGGCAGGTATGCTCCGAATAGACTTCACTAAGAAAACACAGAAAACAACTGTCAAAAGCTATTCTCCGATAAGGATAATGTCCCCCAAATGCGAACGCTGTCCTGTTCTTAGCTCTGCTTCTAAGTGTAAGAGTGAGCTGCGCTGCACGGGGTTTCATCTGCAGGCTGCTAGTGTTCCCTCACCAACTGTGTTGTTAGACACGAGCTTGGTTCTCCTCAGAAGTCTGTGCAGGTACAGAAAGACACTGAGAAAGAGCTTTTCTCCGTGCCCCTTTGTTCTCTGAGGTCTTTGTAGGCACCTGGGTGGTTGTCATGCCACAGCCTTCATCACCGGTAAGTTATGTTAAGTAGCTTGGAAGTTTCTGTTCCGAGACATTCGATCAAATCATACAAGCATACTAACCTCCACAAACTCTTGGGATGACTTTCTGTTCTCTCTCCTAATTTTTCAAACTAAAACTCACAATTCACATCAGTGGCCTGGGTGTATCCATTGCATTCCAGACACTACCAGAGAGGCATCACCCCAGCACATCACAGCTGACATACGTTAAGGCCATGCAGCAAAGGACATGGAGCATATGAAAACTCCATAGTATGCAAAACTGACAATCCTTCAGCTGTGAAGTTTCTTAATCATTTTTTTTCCAAAGATGAAGAAAAACAGCTTTTCATACAGACTGAGAAATTATCTATCATCTGGCTAGAAAAAAAATCTGTGTCTTTGACGTGACAGAAGGTGGCTGTTTTCAGGTTAAATAATTTGCAGTTTTAGTTAAGTGCTCAGAATAACTGTGAATCTCTTGTGTGTCTTCATCATGAAAGAGCCAAGTTTCCAGCTCACTGGCCATGTGTTCAGACCAAAGGTTACTTTTTAGAGCTGGATCTTGTGCAACTTTCACTCATTCTCTTGAAAACAAAAAACCTGAAGGAGCTCCATGTCAAATGCTCAAAAGAGACAGACAGATGCTACCAGCAAACCATGTGAAGCCCGAGCCCTCAGACTGTGGAGAGCGTATAAAAACCACAGGCCCCTGCGAATTCAGTCCTCCAGTCATTCTGAGCACTTAATTAAAACTCCAAATTATTTAACCTGAAACCACCACCATCCCATATTCTATCAAATCAAAGATAGGGATTTTTTTTTTCTAGCCAGATGATAATTTATCAGTCTGCATGAAAAGCTGTGAGAACAATATTCAAAAGAATTCTAAGTCCCACAGGTATCAAAGAAAAGCTGCAGTTGCAAGGTTCTGTCATAATGTCCAAAGCATCAGAGGGCCATAGTGCTACTTTTAATGTGGTTTTAAAATGATTCCCCAATTAAAAAATGGGGTATGGAGTTAAACAGAGAACTCTCTGTAGAGGATTGTAGAATGGCAAAAAAAAAAAAAAAAAAAAAAAAAAAACCAAAAACAAAACAAAACAAAACAAAAAAAAAAACACTTAAAGAAATGCTCAACATGTTTAGCCATCAGGGAGATGCAAATCATCTGAGATTTCACCTGACAACCATCAGAATGGCTGAGATCAAAACCTCAAGTGACAACACATGCTGGAGAGGTTGTGGAGAAAGGGGAACCTTCCTCCATTGCTGGAATGCAAACTTGTACAACCACTTTGGAAATCAATCTGATGCTTTCTCAGACAATTAGGAATAGTGCTTCCTCAAGATCCAGCTATACCACTCCTAGGCATATATCCAAAAGAAGTTCAAGTACACAACAAGGACATTTGCTCAACCATGTTTGTAGCAGCTTTATTTGTAATAGCCAGAACCTGGAAACAACCCAGATGTTCCTCAACGGAGGAATGGGTACAGAAATTGTGGTACTTTTACACAATGGAATACTACTCAGCAATTAAAAATGAGGAAATCATGAAATTTGCAGGCAAATGGTGGGATCCTGAGTGAGGTATCCCAGAAGCAGAAAGACACACAGGGTATATACTCACTCATACAGACATATAAGATAGGATAAATATACTGAAATCTATACACCTAAGGAAGATAAACAAGAAAGAGGACACAGGGTAAGATGATCAATCCTCACTTAGAAAAACAAATGGAATGGACTTTGGGTGTAGGAGAAAACAAGTAAGAGGACAGCAGCCTACCACAGAGGGCCTCTGAAAGACTCTACCTATATATATCAAAGCAGATATTAAGACTGATAACCAAACCTTTGGCAGAGTGCAGGGAATCATATGAAAGAAGGGGGAGTTAGTAAGACCTGGATAGGACAGGAGCTCCACAAGGACCAAATATATCAGGGCACAGGGGTCTTTCATGAGACTGTTTCTCCAACTAAGGACCATGTGTGGATATAACCTAGAACCCCTGCCTGGATATAGCCCATGGTAGCTCAGTATCCAAGTGGGTTCTCTAGTAAGGGGAACAGGGACTATTTCTGACATGAACTCAATGGCAAGCTCTTCAACACCCACCCCACCCCCCACGAGGGAGGAGCAGCCTTGCTAGGACACAGAAGAGGACATTGCAGCCAGTCCTGAAGAGACCTGAAGAGATAAGCTAGGGTCAGATGGAAGGGGAGGAGGTCCTCCCCTATCAGTGAACTTGGAAAGGGGCAGGGAGGAGATGAGGGAGGGAGTGTGGGATTGGGAGGGTGTAAGGGAGGGGGCTATGGCTGGGATAGAAAGTAAATAACCTGTGATTAATATAAAAAATTATTATTAAAAATAAATAAATAAAATGATTCCTATTAATGCTCTTGTACTTCCATATTAATTGGGTAAATAACCAGAAAACCATGTATTCAGAACATCAACACAAACTCCCCAAAGGAAACCTCAGGAGTTTGCTTCATCCAATGCCATGTCATTCCCCTACTTTCCATAAAGAAACATGATTACTTTCAGACTTAGCCTCCAGTGGATGAAATCAATTCCTATCACAATAAATATTACACACTGTGAGTTCACCTACCAACAGCCAGGAGCAGCTGCTCCAAGTTGCCTGACGTCTCTCGGTCAATGGTTTCCTCAATCTGAAATCCTGATATCGTCATGTACTTGTCAAACACTAGAAAAAAAACAACAGAACAACATGCTTTCTTACTCGCTGAAGAAGTGTTCCTTCCTGAAAGACGATGTAACTTTCACAGGTGTTATCTGTCCAAGCAGAAACCCCCGTGGCCTCCTTGCTGTCAGAGCCCCGCACTCAGAGCCTCAGTGTGCTAAGCCCAAAACAGTGATTCACGCACGTTGTAACAAGTGTCATTATTTAGGAATTTTTAAATTCAGTTTAGCTTTGTATGTTGTGACAGGACTTTGGGATGTCCCACAGACTGGTCTCAAGCTTGATCCTCCTGTCTCTGCTTTCTAAAAGTTCACTTGAGATGTGGTCAATCTTTACATTTTACAGTTGCATTGTTTGATTATTGTCTTGAGTTAACAGATGGATCCCTTTAGGCCAAGAGAAATGCAGTTTGTCTGTAGATGGCCTTCTGCCCACAAGGATACTCCAAATAAGGAGACATGATGGTGGCTTGTCTGTGGATCTTGGTGGGCTTCAGTGTGGAGATTATACTCAGACATAAGCAACCATGCTTGGCTTCTAAACATTGCTTCATAAATTCTGATTTCCTGGCCCCTTGCTATTTTCCATCAGGGAAATCAACAAATAAATCTGCTGTGAAAGACTCTGAAAAGCCCTTCTTCTTCTTAAAAAAAAAAAAAATGATGAACAAACATGACCACTTTAACTCTTCCTTCTCTTCTTGCTATGCAAATGATGTCTGGAGCTACAGCAACCACCTTGTGAAGATGAGGTAATGAGCATAAGATGGAACACAGAGGTAATGAGCATAAGATGGAACTCCCGCAGTGCAGCGGGAGAACAGGAAGATACGAGGTCCTGCCAAATCAACCACGTCAGATCCACAGAAACAAAGCACAACTGTTTGTGGAGGGCCAGTAGGAAAACTTACTCCATCTTGAATTATAAGAACAGGGAAACCTGCTGAAGTGGTGTAAACTTTTACATCCTTTTGTGTCTGTTCTACTGTAGACCAGGATATATTGCTGACATAGTTACTGGGGAAACAAACAATACTGTTGCATGCTTGAGCACCGGTGCGAGGAACCTGGATTTTGCATGACCTCCTCGTGATGAGGAAACAGACTCTGCTGTATATGTGCTTTTCATGTATAAAAGAAAGCCAGGACAAAACAAACTGGTTTCAGTTCTTACTGAAGTCCTCTAAGCTGTGTCGCACTTTGTCTTTTCTCTTTAATCCTCACTCCCTCTCTCGCAGCACATGCACTTTGAGTGAGCGGGCTTGGTCAACTGTTAAAGCCATGATGAGGGTTTTTGTCACTTGCTGCTGAACTTATTCTAACCTGACACTGGCATGTGACCCTATGACATCTTAGGACAGCAGGGGAACTCTCGGAGGGAGATACACACCAGCATCTGGAGAGGTAACAGTCTGGAGCGCGATGCCCCTCACCACATCTCAGAGTGAAGGGGGAGTGCTAAGAACATCTAGTTTTGCATTACGGTAGCAACTTCAAGATTTCTCCAGATCAGACCGCACGAACTGATTCTGCTCTGGTCCAATGTGTGTGAGTACTTTCCAGACTTCCCAAAGCACTGTCTCAAACAGTCTTGCTTACCTCTTCTCAAATGAGACACGCTGCGTGTCCCAAAGATGGTGATGAACTTTTCTTCGTCCGTGCCCCACTTCAGCTCTCCAGCCTGGAACAGTGCCTGCAACAAAGCCCCCCAAATGAGCTGGTCACGAGTCCAGTTCCCCAGTGCCTGCCCCTCCCAGAACACTGAATGTGCCTGCCTGAGCACCAGGTTAATGGGTCACATGCAAAGCACAGAAATGACACAGGAGTTCATCTTTCCAAAATGTTGGCTGGAATATCCGTCTTCCAGGAGAGATGCTGTGGGTTGGTCAAGTTCTTGTCCTCTCACTATTAAACCCTGATCTACAGACTGGAAAGTAACTCAGTGGGAAGTTGTCTGTGTCTTGCTTTGCTCATCCTATGCCTGCTGTCATGTTTACAGCAAATGATAAAAAAAAAAAATCTCTATTTCTGCTTTACATCTGTGATTTAAGCAAAGTTAGTTACAGGATACCTTGGCACACAGCCACACAGGCCATAGTAAAATGCTAAAATGTTGCAGGATAGCAGTGGTTGGTACCCTCGGGGCACTTAATAAATCCTGCTGACATCACGTGAGTACCATAGTCACCTTCGACATGAAAAAATACAAATGCTCACCAAAGTTCACTCACGTGCTTGCGACACTTAACACATGAACATTATGAAATCTGAGGTCATTTGAGATGTGGGCAGTCTTTCAGCACCCTTTCGTTACTGCCTTAAGTTAACACACAGGTCCCTGTTGGGCTAAAAGAAATGCAGTTTGCCTGCAGATGGCCTTCTGCCCCCAGGGATATTCCAAATATGGATATATGACTTTGAGGTTGGTAGGCACAAGCATATGGATTATAGTGCTTTAGATCTATTTTGTATCTTCAGAGATTTAAAAGACCCCTTCCTACATCTTTGTGCTAAACAGATTGCTTTTTCCTTCTCCTTCTTTCCTCTAAGAATTCAATCCTCTTTCGAGAGCAAGCATTTGGCAAGAAAGATGATAAACAACAGCTTCAACACTCCTAAAACATTAAGTCAGTTTCACATATTTAAAAAGGTGCAAGTTAATTTAACACACTTAAAAATATTAAAAAATGTTAAGTGTATCCTGTATGTGTTCAGTTCCCAAGTGAATGACTCACCGTAACTTATCAGATTCCAGAGATAACAGGCCTGCCTCTGTGCCAGGTATCGTACCAGCAGAGAAAAACTGAGAGGTTTATGAAAAAGCCCTCTCACTATCTCAGCACACAGGCCACCAAATCACAGGTCCTTCCTAGCGAAGACAGTCTCCCTGCCTTGCTCCAAGGTACAAAAGGCATGCTCCTTCCCAGACTTGAGAGAAGCTCTCTGCGTCTACAGAAGGCTGGATTACTGATGTCAACAGTCAAGAGCACACGACCAGGGTAGCTTGCTCTCTGCTGCCCCTGCTCACGGCAAAGGGAAGAAAGCCTGGGTTCCATCAGGAGATTTTAAAGTCCCCCCACAAGGCAGTATTCACACATACAAAATTTCACTTTCAGTGTTCTCCTAAATGGTCACATCTGCTGCGTGACAGGTAAGTGACATGTCCACAGCCTGGGTAATCAGCACAGTCCCCAGAGAATGACATCAGCTCCTTGGAGGGTCTGAGAACCATGGTCCCACCCAGACCTGTAGGATCAGAGGTGAAGCCCAGAATCCACAGGCCCATGGATGTGAAAGGCAGTTCTGGGCAACAAATAGTGAAGGGAAAAATCAATGAGAAAGCTCCTGAGTCCTCAAACAGCACAGAGAGATCATATCAACTGTGCTGGGAAATGTGCCCACAGGGCCCTAATGTAGGTCTCCCCACTGTCATCTGAGACTACAGTTGGCTTCCCGTGCCATAACCACTGAAAAGCTTCCAGAGCTCCTAGCGCTGACAGTAGGAACAAGAGAACTGCAATGTCTCGCACGAAAGCCCAGAGGAATCAATGCCTGGAAAGCGAGGCTGTCTTCTGAAACTGAGCAAAGCCCCTAGCTGGGGGAGAATGACTTGAGGGTCTGTTCCTGCCCTTTCTCTACAGGAAGGTGGACTCAAGTTGGATCTGAGCTCTTAACTTGGTAAACTTGGTAAAAGGAAATCAGAATGGGGAGCTGACTCTGAGCACGAGTCGGTTTAGTGGAAGAGAAAGGATGTTGAAATCCCAGAGCCAGGCTGGGGATTGGAGCTCCACTATCACTCACCAGGACCTGGACTCATAGTTCCCTCACTCACAGTTGGGAAATGCCTCCTGGACCTGAGTCCAGCACCTACTGAATGACAGCACCATTGTAGATGAGTCCAGAACTAAACTGACACTGTGCCCTGGAAAGGCAGGCAGGCAGGCAGCTTCAGTGTGAAGCAGGGAGACAGGATCAGGAAGTCTGGGATGCTACAGTTTTGCATGAGGGCCACCTGACTCGTGCCTTGAAGGTCAGAAAGGGACAAGTAAGAAGCGTCTAAAGTAGGACTGACCTTTGAAGAGATGAAGCAGGAATGAGAGAAGAGAAGAGCACTGAGGTAGGGGTGGAGGCCTCAGACATGGATTATGAGGAGGTTGAAGGACCACATTCAGGGGCCTGGACTCTACCCTGGGAACAGTGAAACACTGTTTGAAGGGCTTAGAAAGGAACCTGACACAGTGCGCTGACATTTACAAGGCAGAACACGAGTGAAATACTGTACAGTGGGTCCCAGTAAATGTTTTCCTTTTTTTTTTTTTCCTCCAGAGAGGCAGGAGCTGCAATGATCAAAGCTGTTAAGAAATCAACCCCCCAAAATAGGGTAACTTTCTCCTCTTTAGCAAAGCCAGATGACATACTGCTGGCAATTGCACAGAGCAGTCAGCCAGATCTTCCTTTTTCAATGACACCTTAACTGAAATGTGACCAGGACAGGGAGACAGCAAGTGATTCTAGGAACCCATGTACTGTAGGACCAATTCCCAGGTTTCAACTCTCAGGTTTTATATTTTCTGATGCTTACTTCTTACGTGTGACTGTTTTACAAACCAAACTGAAATTACACTAGGATTCAGAAGTCTGGGAAGTGAAAAATTTCACTTGGGAATTGATAAAATGTAGCTGACAAAAAAAAAAATCATCCTGTTGAAAACTCTGTCCAAAAAAATAAGAGAATTTCCTAATGCTAACATAAACTAACTTGTCATTTCTTTTGTAATAAAATGCCACTTAAACCATAAATGTTTTATCTATTTTTCCTTATTTTATCCTACTAAGAGACCTATTCTATCATGGTAAATGGAACGGTAATGTGAGGGGTTTTTTAAAGCATTTTTTAAAAAGGCATTCTGCATTTTGTGAATGATGAAAAAAAAAAAAGCACGTCTAGGTATAACTTGTAATATACTTTGCTTATTTTTACCTCAGCTTTGGGATAAAACTGTTTTGTTGGCCAGAGCAGAATAAGAAAAGTGTACCTACATGTGTCATGTGTTTTGTAGGGAGCTGATAAATACGCTTCTTAAAGGTTCTTAAAACACATATTGCGATTTTTTTCACTAATATAAGTTGTTTTTTTTTTTTTTTTATTTCTAAGTCTTAACAAAGTTGTCATGTAATAGACCTTACTCACCTGAGCATCCAGTTCAACTTGAGCATCATCAATGGCAGAATCGGGGTCTCTATTTGCCTGTAAGAAATGACAGCACACACTGGACTTTAGGGCCTCCGCGTTCAGATGGAAAGATGCCCCTGCTGCCCATGCATGAGGGGCTTTCTCTGCTGGGGAAAGTGAGCTTGTGTTCAGATCATAGCAACCCCACAACATGCTGCACTACCCCACAGCAGTGTCCCAACCAGCACAGCCCTGCTGGCTCCAAATACCATGATGCACAAAGCTACCTAACACGAATGAATGAGTTGGCTCTCGACAGTATGAATCCAATATTCTGAGGCACACACACACACACAGGCCGCCACTGCAGTGGAAATCAGCACATACCAGAAAATACTAAAGACTTCGGAGTGGCCTTCACACAGGCAGGTCATTCCAACCCAGCTCCCCAGTCCCGTCATGCTAAGTCTCCAGCAGTACCTGAAGCAGAACCACCAGCATCCTCTGGTAGTACCCTGAGGTGTCCCCGACCACATCATCTTCCAGGCTGGAACCATATTCTGCAAGACAGCGGTTTCCCACTTGTTCATAGCGTATCTCAATGAGAAAAGCCCTGCCCCACTTATCAAACAAACAAGGCGAAAGGAAGACATGCTCTATTTGATTAGCAAAAATCCTCTGTATGCCATCTCTGGGTGTCCTCAAGAAGGATGGCAACTTCAGCAAGTCAGTGGCTGGATAAAAACAGACTATATCCACATCTCCTGAAGCCTTCGCTGCAGCCTAGGTTATGACAGCCACCTAAAAGTACTCCCCCAGATGTAGGGACACGGAATGACCCTGTAAAGCTTCAAAAGTATGATAACTGTAAGGTGAAACTCTGCCTCCTTCAAATGTTTCATGTGACTTTTGTTTCCATCAGATGTTGTTCACCCTCTGAATCCGTGTCTTTGCATGGTGATATCCCCCACTAATAAGATATTTTTCCTTTAAATCAATTAAGTTACCTCTGAGAGACAGCAATGACATTTTAAAGTATGAACCCTCCACCTCAGGTTCCAAATCAACTTGACATCGTAGGAAAGGGGTGACCTACTGACCCATACACTCTTTCACTAGCTCTCAAACTGTTGTTTTAGAATGATCTTGCCATTGGATGTTACAACATTTAATCACGGTTTGAAAGCAGAAGTATTTCAAAATCCTGAAGCTTCTATTTTATGTGTATTAGAACCAGTTACCCAAATACAGAACTTTGGAAGCATCTCTGATTCCTTCCTCTGCTCCAATACCTGTAACTATCAAATTCCCCTCAAACATTTGGTCCTCTGATTTTAACTCTTCATGCTTGCCACCTCCCAGTAACATCAGTGGCGCCATAATTCCTACACAACTTCCACGTTGCCTCTCTACAGAGCTGTGTATCTAATACACCCTAGGCTCAAATCTCCTTCCCTCCTTCAACTGTTCCTCCAACATTCCATCAGCCGTTTACACCTCTGACTCAAGGCCAAATTCAGCATCCAGGCATCCAGGCTAATGCAGTTTATCTACATAACAGACACAGTGCCGTTCCCTAGAGTGAGGCTCCATCAGATCTCGGTCTGCTATCGTCAACCCATGGTCTGTGCCACCGAGGACCAAAGTCACCTCTACCTACTGAAAACCCACTGTGTCCTTTCCTCCCCAGTTTACTGAGGTACAAGGACTAAATAAAACATGTACATTTAAGGCATACATCATGCTTGATACACTGTGAAATGGTTACCACAAACTAACTAGTACCAGCATGTAGCTTTCTGTGGATGATAAAACTCTTACGATCTAGTCTCCTAGAAAATGGTGCTATGAATGGTTACTATAGTGTAACTAGATCCCGAGAGCTTTTCCACCACACCTCACTGTCCCACGGGCACCATCTCCCTATCATCTCCTCCCTCATCTCTCCTGTCCAGCCTGGGCAAACACCATGTTACTGTCTACTCAACAGCTTTATCTGTTTTATCACTTGGTTGGATCCTACCCAAGTGAGATCACATGGTGTTTGCCTTTCTGCACCCAGCTCACTTCACTTGACATAATGTCTTCCATGTTGACCTATGCTACTGAAACTCTCTGAAGTTCCATGTTTAAGGCTATGCAGTGCAGCTCTGTGTGTGCACGTCCATACAACCCACTTGTTTTTCCCATGCATTTTTTCAATGGATACTTAGTAACCTACCTACTCTTGAAATTCCACTATCTCCTTTGTATCGTGAAGCCTTCCCTAACGCCCAAAACTATGATGCCCTTTCCCTCCTGTCTGCATTCTGAATTAATACTTCTCATATACTCCTTTATAAATTTGACCATCCCTTAGCTACTGAATATAACCTCACTGGGGACAAGAGCTGTGGTATGCATGTCTTCTGTGTTCCTCATGACAGCCAGGGTAGTAATGGGCACAGAGCCATGCCCAGTAACATGCTGAGCAGGATGCAGCATGCACATTTCCATACCCAGTTACTGCAGCAGCACAGATGCTCAGTCCTCGGGACCAGCAATCCTAGATAGAGGCCTCTGCAGGCCGCATCAAATAAACTGCTGCGTTTCAGCAACTCCAATCCGAAAAGAGTTTCAGTCTCTTCTCCCGTCCCCCAGACTGCCTTCTAGATAGCTCTTATCATCTCACATAAAACTAGATGATCTAAAGACATTTAAATTAATAGAGAAGAAAAATCCTGTCTATCCCTATAGTGTCTGCAAATCTTACACCAAAAATAAACTTCATCTCCCTTCAGGTGTTGTCAGTTACCATAACTGTTAGGATTAAAAAGGTGGGAGTTTGTTCCTTTATTATTTTGTTGTTGTTTATTTTTTATTGAAGAATGGCCTGACTCACAGCTCTTTCACACAACAGTCATGTACTGTTTCGTGCTCATCTCTACACAGGACCACATGCATGGGACAGAAAGGACAGGTGATAAACTCCAACTGTTTACCTTCTTCATAAACTTGTTTTATGGCCCTGAGTTCTTCAGGTGTCCTTGAAGCAATAATTTCGGTCAATACTTTCTCATCTGTCCCAGCTCCCTGTTGGAAGATTTATTTTTAATAGAGAAAACATGTCAATAAGATAAAAAAAAAGGAAAGCTATTTCCCTGGATGATATCCAGATTACATAATTACAAAAATACTCAACACAAAATGGATTTCTTTGTAGACATGTTTTATTATTAGAGTTAAGAAATTCAGCAATTTTACTTTTTATTTTGCCTAATGAAAAATGAAGTTGACTTTTCTATGTCCTTCTATACCATTATATATAGTTGAGGTCTTTAATTCTTTGGTCCCCTAAAAGCCCAACCATCAGTGGTTTGGTGTCCAGAGTGGCACTAGGGAACACTAACCAAACCCTTCCGACATGGACTCGTGTACGGCTCTTAGATCACTGGGAGATGTCTTAAAGGGTGGTGGAACACAGTTGTCTCTTCTCTGGGTCTGACTTCCTGCCTGGCTACAGGCCCAAAGCCTCAGGGCCATTTAGTTATGGGTACAAGCCAAAATAAACCTTTATGCTTAGACAGACCATTGCAAGTATCACAACAGAAACATGCTAACAATGAGTTCCCTTGCTGTTACATAATTTCTGTGTTTCTGAAAAACAGTGTTAGCTGGTTTCCTTTCTGTAGTTATAAAAGTCATGCCTACACTGTATATATCAAAACATATAAGCGGAAATATGGCTACACTTAGGTTTGTCTAAGATAGCAGAGTTTCTATTTCTGCTTCTTTGCAAATACTCCAGCACTAAAATACCTGAGCTCATCACTATGGGAAAAGCTGCTAACAGTGCTTGAGATGTATTCTGTTGGTTCTAAGATCTCGTTTATTCCAAACTGTAATTGCAGAACAGCACAGAGACCTGGCAAATGCAGTCTCCTGACCAGGTGATTCCCATTTTTCTGCTGTGCGAGCAGAATCCTGGAGCTACTTATCTTGTTTGCCCATTCAGAACCAACCCACTAAGGACAAGCCACTCCTGGTCACTGTCTGAGCAACTGTTTCCACAGAGTCAACTCCAAAAAGTTAAAATATTTCATCTCTAACATTTCCGAGGCTGAAAGATAAAATGAAGCTATAAAAATCCAGCACACTAAAATTTTAGAAATGATATTTTTGAGTTTAACTCCACAAGAAGATTAAACCGCATGCTTTTTAAGTTTTTTTCCCCTTTACTTCTAATTGACTCCCACAGTTTCGTCTGAGCAGCCTTCGCTGATATGAGTCAAATAAAACACAGGGTAATAAAGTAGCACCACGTGTGACAGAATGTCCCTTTCCCTCGCGGGCGTCCTCTTACCTTAAGAGCATGCTTCAGTTCGTAGGCATCGTAGAGCCGTGAGGGCTTCATCAGGGCCACAATTAACTTCTCAAACTTTCCAGTCAGCTCTGACTTCAGGTCATCCAGAAGGTCCTGCCTCAGAAAACACAAACTTGGTGACCGTGGCCTTCCCAAACAGAAATGACAGCTCTTTGCTCTAGTCAATTCTGTCTGTTGCTTCTCTGAGTATTATAGAAGACATCTGTGCTAAACAAATCCCTAAGGAATGTACCTTCAACGTTTAGCCCAAACCTCAAACACCAACATTTATCTAACAAGGTGTTTAAAGATGTTTTCATTAATTTCAAGTGTTAAAATAAAATGGACCCTCTTTCCAGAGCAGGCTAGTAAGTGTGGTAGCACATGCCTGTGACTCCAGCATATGAGAGGCTATGGCAGAGGCCAGCCTGGCAATATGTGACTCTCTAGGATAAAACCCAGGGTCTCCTCAGGTCAGGAAAATACCCTGTGGCCAATGTGCATTCCCAGCCCTTCATAAATTTTGAGGCAGCTGTCCAGGCTGGTCTGTACCCCAGGTAGGATTCATCTTGCTTTTGTTTTTGTTTTTGTTTGTTTGTTGAGACAGGGTCTCTGTATTATGTAGCCCTGTCTGTCCTGGAACTCACTATGTAAATCAAGCTGATCTCAAAATCCCAGAGATCCACCTGTCTCTGCCTCCCAAGTACTTAAAGGCACGGGCCACCACAGCTGGCTCCAGGTAGGATCTGAACTTGTGGTCTCATCTCAACTTCTGACATGGCTGGAATGACAGGCCTGCAACACTTGTGTCCAGCTGCTTTATATAGTAAGAGTCTACCTCAAAATCCCAAGCCCCACCCACCCACCCACCCAAAATCCTAATTAGTAATATTGCTCTGTGGTAGAGCACTTGGGCCACAGAAAGCATATATTCAGCATACAGTTTTTCAGCAGCCTCTCAGAAGTATCCTTATAAAAGCTGCCCCCAAAGGCTACGGTGTATCTCAGTGGCACGGCACTGTGTCACAGTTTACAGGGCTTTGGGTCAGACCCGCAGCACCAGAAACAAAAAGACAAAAAAGAAAGAGAGAAATTTTCTCAAAACTCAAATATATTTTTAAGGACAAGACTTATCCTCTAATATCCAGACAATATCTTTTCTTTCACCATCCAATTCTAATATATAATATTAATGTTCTAATATCTAGTTATTGTTGTTATGCTTCTAACTGGTTAAGAGGCACCTTTAGTATGGGAAGTGTGCGATTATTTATGAAAAGAAACAGTGTTTCCCCAGCACGAAGGGCAGCAGGATTGGGATTGGACATCTTTTATCAATGGACTACACTGCAGCTCCGTGGAGAGCATCTGGTCCTGAGGTCCCGTCGTCAGCAGCACAAAAGGACACTTTCTGGCTTTGTACTGCATTTGTTTCTCAGTGAAATGGCAAATGTAAACTCTCAGAATAACAACGCTACATTATGGTATTTCACATATGCTCTCAGTAAGATTTCAATTTTTTTCACTATGAATTATTAATCAAATAAGAAAGTATATGTTTATTAAAATTATTGCAATACAGATATAAACCTAAAAAATAGATAATGGAAGGAGGAAGGAAGGAAGAGGGACAGTTACCAACATGGGACCATTGACACTTGACACCCCAAAAGCATCATGTAAGGAAAAACATTCGTGCGAGGCTAAGTTTTTAATTATCTTTAAATGGTATGACAACGTTTTTTTGGTACATGCATGTATTATATTGGCCAATCTACTAAACCTTTAATAATCCAGAGATGTTTAAAGCAGTCAGAAGGAAGGGAACAAGTTCCCTGAGAGCACTTTGCCATCCTTGAGGACATAGGCAACTGAGGTTTCTAGTATCCTTGAGGTGGAGAGAAGGGGTAATGAAAAAAAAAAAAACAAAAAACCCTACACTCACTGGGGGATTGTCTTTGTCTTGTTTCTCAAACTCTATAAATTTATAACTGGACTTACTCCTCCTTGGAGGAGCCGTGGCCTTACCCTGCCAAACAGAGTCTTAAACTCCTGGGCGATTTCCTGGCGTTGAGCATTGCTTCGAGCAGTCAACAGGGTCAGGATGCTCTCCTCATCGGTGCCTGAAATTGATGGGTAACAGTGAAAGCTTGCCTCCCACATGCCCATTTTCTAAACACCTTTCCAACTAGCTCACCAGTCACTCTGTGATCCTAACGCCCTCTATGAAACATACAGTACAGCTTATACAATATAAAATATAAAACTGATACTATACAAACTATTACACTTCATATATATATGAAAACATATGTATGTATGTATGTATGTATATATGTATAAAACCTCCTAATTCTCAATTGGGCTTAAAGTAGATGGACAAACACTCCTGGCTTTTTAAAACCTTGGTGTGCCTGCTTTTCATGTACAGTTACATAGTTACTGCATTAATGGCTATTCCCAAAACATAGCATAAAATTAAGAGAAGAAAAAAAAAAAAAACATAGTCCTTGGCTTCAAGTTACACATAATTAAGCACAAAACACATAAAAAAAAAAAAAACTACAAATAACTCTGAGTTAAAACAGACTAGCATGTACTTTAGGGGAGGTCCAAATGTGACATGGGATTCAAAGCAGGGTCTCCTGGCTAGAGAGGAGTCTGGGAGAAGATATCCAACAGTGTTGGGAAAGGCAGCCACATTGGGAAGACAGGCTTAGAATAAGGGGGAAGCTCACAGAAAATAGAGGAGCTGCAAGCTTAGCAGACCCCTCGGCCTGGCTGGATCAGAAATATCAAACAGTAACAAGAGATGAGCTTGAAAGGGGGACCTGGAGTGCCATTGGCAACCCTTCAAGGCTCAGGTGCAGGATCCTAAGAGTAGATAAGTCAGCTGCACAGGAGAATCCTCAAGAGGTTGGCAACTAGTTAGAAAGACACTGGGTGGGTGGGGGCCGGGGCGGGGGTCTGTAAGAGCTTCCTAAGCAGAAGTGGAATGTGGTAGGCAGGGCTACTGAGCTACCAGCTTGCCTCACACTGTGTGCAGGCTGGACCATCGACCCCAGAGAACAGAACTCATGTTACTTTCCTTGCATATCTAATTCTAGAGAACACATCTTCAGGATGGTCTAAGGTATTACTTCATTATCTGAATGTATTTGTCCCCCCCTCCACCTCCCCCCCACCCCCTTATTTGGCCCTTTAGAATTAAAAGGTTTAAGTTACCCAAGCCTTTCATGGCCTTCCGAAGAACCTCTGCATCAGCCCTGCCATCAAATCCAGGAAAGTCAGTCACGGTGCCTCTAAGAGCCTGAGACAGAAAGGACAGAAGTATTCACATTGTGAAAAGCTACTAAGGTTGTGTTTGGTCTCTAAGTGAATTTACCATCTGAAAGATCTGCGAACCACCTGAAAGGAGAAGGAACCACTAGGGGAGAAGTGACAGGGCCAGTCAAGGGGAGAAGACACCCAGACCCACTGACAATGATGTCATCAGAGGGCAGCTCACTCATTGCCCTCCTTGTGATCACTGCCCAACCAAGGCTCCTGCCTCACAGAGGGCATGCCTGCGGGCGTCTTTCCCAGCTAAGGCTCTCTCACTTCAATCTCGCCACACAGTGAGCTTACATTAAAAAGTGATGCCCCGCCCTGGGCACTCAGTGGGAAACAGCTCTCTATTCACATGGCCTTCATACCGAGCCCAGGACCCTTAGAACTAGGAATCTTGAGATGAGTCAGCAATTTCTAAAAATACTTGATAATGTTTGTGCCAGACAAGTACCTTGAAAGATACCCTTTTCTTTATGAGCCTTCCCATTTCACATTGTTATATGAAATGCTTCTACTCATCTCTCGTGATTCCTCAATCAGGAAAGTGAGAGGCAGCGAGTGCAGCAGACAAAGCAGGTCAGGCACTGATCAGGGTCATCCATGTGAGCACACACTTGACAGACTGTGAGAGGGCAGGAGCCGAAGTGGGAAGAGAAGAAACTGAATTTGCAGGGGATAGCCCAAGAGATACTTAAAAGTTGCCTGTAAATTTGCCAATATCATAAAAATAGACAATGCAGGTGTTCAATGTCAGCATGCAATGTCAGAGTGCAAGAGATCAAAACGACCTACTACTTCGAGCAAAGTGCTACTTTGGATAGAAAAATCAACACTGGGAAAGATCTACAAATGCCACACAAAAAGCAAAGATCTGATCCTGCAGCCAATGAGGAACACCACAGGCAATGGGGACAGGAACAGTGTTGGCTCAGCTCTGCTTGGCACTGACTTGACAGAAGTGGGGCAAAGGAAACAGGCTATTTGAGAGCACAGCCAAAAGGAGCGTCAGAGACTAACACAGGGAAGCTAAGGAGACACTGCACAAACGCATCTGGCAGGGTCACGGAGCAGGGAATGGAACAGGAACTGGAGTCACAGCCGACGGTGCTGGTTTGGAATTTAGACCTGGACAGCTGCCTTTGCACCAGTCCACACCAGGCACATGGGAAAAGGGGCAGGCTGTGAGTGACAAGGTCATACGGTGGTGGCTGCTGGAGGGAGCCAGAGCATCAAACCACATTAGCAAGGTGGGAAGAAGTGGGTGGGCAGAAGGAAAGAAAGCTGTCCAATGGCCACAGCTTTATACCAACCGCCCAGAGATGGCACCCCCCACAAGGGGCTGCCCCACCCCACCCCACCCCCACCCCCGTAAACCACTAATTAAGAGAATGCCCTACAGGCTTGCCTGCAGCCCTGACCTTACAGACGAATTTTCTCAAAAGAGGAGGGGACAGAACAAAGGGCTGAGTGAGGAGAGGAAGGGGACAGGAGGGTGTGGCAGGGTGTCCCTGCAGTAGGCGGTTTGTTGCACAACAGTGAGGTGGATGGCCTCGGGGAAACCACAGCTCACAAACAACAGTTCGTAAAAGCACTGTGTCAGATACACTTTAAAAAGAAATATTGATCTGATTTGTAAGTTATGAAGAAACTGCAAACAGTTAAACATGGGAAAAGCTGAACAAAGAGAAATCATTTGTCTCAAAAAAAAAAAAAAAAATGACCCTAGGGACTGAAGGGTGCTTCTTGACAGACGTAAGGAAGAAAACCATCCTTAAATTTTTCAGCTATTAGCTAGAAGAAATAAGTGCCAGCCACATCCTTAAGAACTTTCTAGAAATTGAGACACAATTTTGCTGTATTTCGCACAGAGCTAGCAAGGCCACGTGGCAGCACTCGCAGCTCAGACGTGACTCACACATATGAGTAATGAGGACAGGGCCCTGGTTAGGGCTCTGCCTGCCCCTTGCTACCCACGCAAAAGGCAATGTGATTCTGAGTGACTCATCCCGGAGGCCCCATTTCCTGAAATCCCCATGGTCCACTAAAATAAGCTTCATGTGTAGCAGATTCTGGTCCCTCATTCAACCTCGGCTTATCCTCATTTCTTTTCATCTCTTAACACCAATTCCCCACCAAAAACAGAAACAAACAAAAAATGATGACACCTGCTTAGAAAACACCTGTTCGAAACATATCATTTACTTTTTAACTCTCATCTTCAAAAATATCCACTCTTTATTCAGCTCTACTATTTTGTTGCCTGGAAAGGTGGGGAGACAGGAAGACAGAGAGTTCTCCACCTCCTCCCAGTCAGGCAGAAAGCTCCGACTGGATGAACATACCAAAGGCCCACTAATATCCGCTGTGATAAGGAGGAAGAAAACATCTTTATCACTGAATTAAAATGAGGCAGAAGCAGGTGGAGCTCTGTGAGTTCAAGGCTAGCCTGGTCTACAAAGTGAGCTGGTTCAAGGACAGTCAGGGCTACACAGAAAAAACCCTGTCTCAAAAAGAAAAGGAAGGGAAGGAAAGCAGGAGGGAGGAAGAAACTAGATGACCAAGAAAAGATGTGAACGTCAACAACCTGACCTAATTGTGCGTTTAAAAATGAAATGAACAGAGAAAGCCAGACCCTCTAACAGAACCAAGAGGTGCTACACATCCAAGTCAAATACATGGTCACAATCCCAAACCCCTGTCCTCGCTCTGACCCTGTCAGGAAAGGAATGCTAGCTTCAAGCCCTTGCGTTAGCTGCGAGCACTGAGCTCAAGACTTCCATCCCGCTAACTCCCTCCTACTTTTTGCCTCATTTCAGTTGGTCAAACTATCCACCTACTTTTGACCTCTTTCTTAAGGTCAGGAACAAAAGCATCATTTTAAGAGAAGTTATTTAAGTTATTTGCACACGGCACAGACGTTCTAATGAAAAATAAGTACTTGCAAACATGACTGTACTGGATGGTTTTGTGTCAACTAGACATGGGCTAGAGTCATCAGAGAGGAAGGATCCTCAGTTGAGGAAATGCCTCCATGAGATCCAGCCATAAGGCATTTTCTTAATTAGTGATCAACAGGGGAGGGCCCAGCCCATAGTGGATGGTGTCATCCCTGGGAGGGTGGTCCTGAGTTCTATTAGAGAGCAGGCGAAGCCAGCCAATGGAAGCTAGCCAGTAAGCAGCATCCTCCACAGCCTCTGGGCCAGCTCCTGCCTCCAGGATCCTGCTCTGTTTTGAGTTCCTGTCCTGACTTCCTTCAGTGATGAACAGCAATATGGCCCACAGACACCAAAGTTAGACTGGAGTTGCAAGTAGTTGTGAACGGCCTAACGGGGGCACTAGGAGCCATAATAGTTACTAGGAACTCAAATTCTATAAATCCACTTCTCTCTTCTCTGTCCAAACCTAAACTCAGCAAGCCATCCTGATCTGCACCTAGCACCTCATCAGCCACCCTCCAGTCACCTATCAAAGTTGTCCCTGTCCCCCAGAGGTCCCTCCTCTCCAGTCCTAGCTCTGCCCTGCACAATAAGCAATACCCATATTCTTAGTACTCTGGAGGCTAATGCAGGAGCTCAAGGCAAGCCTGTTGAAAGACCCTGTCTAAATGAGTCAGTAAAAATAAAGTCCTAGCCACTGCCTAGTTTAACTCCGTGGTGGTGGTGGTGGTGGTGGTGGTGGTGGAGGAGGAGGAGGACGAGGAGGAGGAGGAGCAGCAGCATTCCCGGGGATTATTGGAATAGGTTCCATGGTGATCCAGTTTCCCTTCCAACTTCAACTTCAACATGGCTATCCCTCTTGTACAATCCCAGAAATGCAGCCACCATGCTAGCTCCAGGATACTGTCCCTTAAATACAAATCTGCTCCAGGCATACTCACCTTTAACAGCCCTGTTGAAGGGTCCTCCACCACCCAGAAAACAATTCCTGTTTGGGTCTGGCTCTGCCTGTCTACCCAGTATCCCTTTCCAAGACAGGGTACTATTCACCTCCCTTACTATGGTCATTCTGGCAGTGCTACCTGCAGTTCCATCCTGCCAAACTCTTAGCCATGCCCTAAGCATCTGCATTTGTTCTCACTATGGCCGCTGTGATGCCTCCCCTCCTTCATCCTACACAAATAATGCAAGCAAAGCCACCTCAGATAAGAGTAGTGCCTATTTACAAAATGTATCACAGGTACCGGGTAATGTGTGTGACGGGCTTGGCCATGCATCCCCCCCAGCAACAAATCTTAGCTGCAGTTCCCATGTTGCCTTCCATGTCTTACAAGACCCAGGACAGAGAGGGAAAGCAGATACCCAAACATTCAGGACGCACACATAAATGGAAAGGGAAGACAACAGAAGCAATGGTCCAAAGACACGAAGCCAACTGTGTACACATCCCTTCCAATTACTTAATGGCTTATACGTTTGCATGCCGTGCAAGCTACTAGATCGATAGGATGGATCCAGAACATACTTAAGGGAAGATCTGAGGAGCCCTAATTCTAATTCAACTAAAGCATTTGGGCAATTTTAGAATAGTAAAACAGTTACACAACGTGTATTTCAAAGATGGATCTACGATGTAGAAATATATTTATCCTATTCTGATCTCTGAAGTCATTAGAAGCAGAAAGTCACAGGCTGCACATCTCCTGGTCACTTCAGCACCACCGCCGTCTTCCCAGGAGCTCAGGTGATCGAAAGGAAATCGGGGCTTGCTGATGCCAATGAAGGGTTCAGTGGCTTGCCAAGCAGCCAAGCGGCTTTCTCAGAATCCAAACGAAGGCAGTCAAAGGGATCAGGAACTGCAACATCCCGAGCCGCCAGGACAGCAGAGGCCATGGGTAACAGGATCCCAAGATGAGCGACAGAGATAACTGACCCGAGATGTAAGTCAACGTCCAGAGAGTCCCGTGTCGTGAACTCGGGGAAGATTTACTTGTTTACCCGGATCCTGCCAGCTCTGCAAGGGGCCTTTGTAAATTATTATTAT